AAATTATTTTACATATTATTTATTTATTAGAAAATATTCGAATACTAATAAATTGATTGTAAAAAATAAATTTGCGTATCAGTCTACGTTAAAATTGGTTCACTGCGTAAAGAAGTTTGAATGTTTTACTAGTCACCCTCGTATTATTACCACCACCGTTTGATCAAGGAACACATTTTTTTATGTGACATTGATGTTTCACTGTGTTGATTTGTCTCAGAATAGGAGCTGGATAAAATATCAAAGTATAAAGAACTTTACCTTTTCAATTGTTACATATACAATTGCCAATATTGAATTTACAACAAAATTTCACAAGATTAATACTTCAGCAGACGGAAAACACTATGAAAAGTATTCGTTTCCATTATGAATTATTTTTGTTGTATCTGCATATTTTTAAAAGTTAATCTATTAATATTAGACATATCATTTGATTAATTTCATTTAAACATTGTATTACAAATTTTCATTATTTCGAGCAAAATAATAAAACTACTCCGAATAGAAAGTATTCGTGGAAAAAAAATAGTATTTTTATTCGGCTCCTTTACGACTACTTTCTTGTGTATAGTTGTCTGCCCTTCTTTGCTTCGTAGATTGTACGCAGCACTATATCCCTTTTTGCACGATCATGTATTATAAAAGTTTCGTGTAATATAAATCACATTATTGAACGAATAATAAGTAATATATTTATGTTAATACACGTGTGTTTCAAGTTAAGGTATGAACTGGTACGTCGACTAAAGTAAAAGATTTTATATTTCAATTACAATTTTTCTCTCGAGACTGTTTGTACGATCCTACATTATACGGCATTGTACTTATAATACACGAATGAAACGTTCTGTAATTAATTTTCATCAAACTCCAGATGTTATAAAATATTTAAATACATATCATATTAATCATTTTAGTTTTATTACTGTAGCATTATTTTTGAATGGCACAGTAATAACTAAATGAACTTGGTTTACAATTTAATTTACTAATTGAAGATTAGTTAGTAATTGTTAACCTTACAAAATGCCGTAAAATGAAAAAATCGACAAATAATTTAGACATTCTTTCTGTAGACATTTTGAAATACATGATCACAACGTACAGTAATCCTCGGATGAGTGTCGGGGGCTCGGGACCGCGTTCCGAAACTCATCCGGGGAGATAGGTGTTCTGGGAATCGTTGGCTGCTGTCTCACTTCGGTTCGCTCGCTTCGGTGCATTGAAAACAAGAGTGAGAAACATGAAGTGCGAATGAAATAGAAAGGCTCGACAGCTGACTACCCGTATAATTCAAATTCATTCAAATATGGTCATGTTTGGTATCATTTTCATTGGAAAAACCTCAGCAATTTGATTAAAATAATCTCATCGTTAATCACAAGTCAGAGATAACACAGACGCTCAGTCCGTCGAAGCAGTTCTAGAAATTTGGTGGGGATAACTCTGTAACACTCATCCGGGGGAAAAAATGCGACACTCATCCGGGGATTACTGTAATAAGAAACTGAAAATGATTAAAGCATCAATATCTTTTATGATTTGTAGCTATGTATGATTTTATGTTTAGAAATTTCGTAAGACTCGATACCATAATGTTAAATGTTCAATGTCCCTTAAAAATCTATTGGTCCGTACAAATCTACACGCTATCCTAAACTTGAACGAGTGTAAGATATTCTTGTGTATGTGATGATATTTTTCTCGAAGCATGATACAGAAACCAGCTTCTATTACGATTTTGGGTGATTCAATACAATCTTTTAGCCTGTACTTCGAACGCTTCTCACGAATTTCTAATAAAACTGGTGATTTCCATTACGACGATATCTAAAGGTTAGGATTCAACAATAGCTTCACGCTATCTCTAATATACATTAACAAAACGTGAAAATAACGCGAACATAATATTGTGCACTAATGTGCTCATTCAGTGAAAAAGGAAAAGAGGATATGCAACATGCTCTCAACTATCCAATTATTTCCGGCGTAAAATGTGAGGCAAATGAGATCAAACTTGGTGATATAAAACTGTAAATTTCCTTTATTCGAAATTGAGTTAGCACTGCACGATAGATAGGGTAACCTTATAATGTCGTAACATAACGATAGAGAAGAAACTGAAGTGAGAAATTCGATAGATAAGAACGCTATAGAGAAAAAAAAAAAAGAATATTAAAAAGAGAAAAATAAACGAACAAAATTGGTCGCGCTTGCTCGTGGTATCGGTGGTGCGTGGGTAATGTGACTAGCAAGAGCATTTGTCTGTTTATCGTTACGAAAGGAGGGGCCAGTGGCTACGGGTATGCAGGCTACGCTGTTAAACTATGGGGGGCAGCATGGGTTTGGTCGGTGCAGCGTTGCCTCGCAAGGAAGCCTCGAAGAAGACGAATGCGACTCGAGCGAAGAACTTATAGGGAGTGCATCTGGTGGGGGTCAGTCCGAGTCGCAGTCTGTGGGGCTCCAACCAAAACTGACCCCGATCAGTGGCTCTATGGAGCCCACCACCGTTTTCAGGCTCCACTTTCTCGGATCTGTTGAAGTTGAAGAGGAAGGGAGACGTAAGCGCCTTAACAACAACATAGTGCGGGAGGCTGTGACTAAGATCAAGGTCCGCCCTCCAACCCTTAGATGTATCATTATATTCTATTCTGTAATCGTTATGTTCGACTATCTTAAATATCTATCTAAAGAAGTTACTTTTTCTTTTATGCCTCATTTCTCTCTGCATCACTCCTTCACTTTCTTTCAGCAACAACGAGTAATCGAGTTTCACAGATTACGTTATTTCTTGAATTTAGCCATTCGTCTGGGGCATTTTATCTTTAAATATGTCTTCATTGCAGAGAAAGAATTTTTACGCCTTAAATAATGAACGATTTTTGATAGTTTGCGGTATGTTGTACGAAATCTCTTGCAATAAACAATTTCGAAGGAAAAAAAGAAAGGAAATCGAGAATAAAGTAGAATATGATTTTCTTAATGGGAGATTTTATATTGAAGAATATTAGCTGTATATATCTGCCAGGTTTACATACAATTAACACTGATGATTGAAATGCTATTTTCTCTAATTACTAATCCACGTTTATATGCTTATAATTATTAGGAAATTTTGTTAGTATTCGTAAGCACAGATATAAAGAGAAAAATGTATCTACATGAAAAAGACAATAAGTCAAAAGAGGAGTGAAGAGATAAAACGTTTGTAAATTCATTATTAATTATTGTAATTTGGAATTGTATCAAGTCAAAGTGCAGTTCGATAAAGCAACACGGAAAAAAAGGAAACAATATTTCAGTTCAGTTGAGTAGTATTTTTTAATGGAAAAATTATCTAGACTTACTCGTTGTCGGTGAAAATGGGTGTGGCTAGATATAATTACTTAAATAAGGCGTATTTTTAATATATAATATTGTTCACAATAATGCGCGATACATTTGATTATGTTTTCACAATAAACTCTCAGGTTTACAAAAGTTTCACATTCCAAATTTCCTAATGCAGAAAAAAAAAAAGAAAAAAAAAGATATATGTGGACATTAACTTTTTTTTTTAACTAACAAGCATTTTTCAACATTGTGCATCCTTTTGTTGCAATAAACTTAAGCATAATCTATAATAAATTTATAGCATCTTTTCTTATTGTTTTGTACTGTATGACATTCATCTCGATCAAATTAATTAATTGCTTTCTTTATTTTATTCAACATGCTGCTTCTTCACGATAGGCTTTGGTACGTATATATTCACATTTCTACTTCGATCGTTCAGTATTTAGTAAGATTAACAGAACAGTCAGATTTGAACGTGTACAATAAGAGCCCAAGAGAGGAAAAACTAAGTACAGTAAACTCTCGTATAACACGAGGGATACGTTTAACGTTGCATGAAAAATAACCTTGATGAAAATATTTTTTGCAGATCTTAAAGTGTGGCTTCTTAAACTGAAACAATTTTTATTTAAAATACTTCGTTTCAATTTTACACAGAACGTTTAGACGTCTCTTGTTTCAACCAACATTCGAAATAGAATCACGACTCTCCTCTCCTTTCGTTAGTAATCATAACATAGTGCTATAATTTTAAACAATGCCTAGTAAAATTAAAGAAAAAAATGTGGAGATTCGCTTGCATACGAAAAAGATTTCAGTATTGGGTCACATTTGACCCGGCGTCCGCGGTGCGTGGCGCCTATCGCGCCATCCTTTCTCCGAGGGTTGAACAAAAGTTCAGACGATATTTTCTAATTAAAATTTAAAACTAATTTATCGTATTCTGTTTTACCACACTATATAAGAAATCTCGCAAATTTTTCGATATATTTGTATATACGTACTGTGTTATACAGGGGCTTCCTGCAGTTTCAAATACTGACTTCAAGTTTCCTGTTCTCTTCTTACACAAATTATATAGCCATACGTGGCTCTACTGTTTCAATATTTTACAGTATGGTATATGCTATAATACATTGACTCAAATTGTAATATTTTAATTATAAACGATATATCTTGATAAAAGTTAGCTCATATAGGCAAACCATCGGTACTTAAGATAAATCATTTACATAAATATATTTTTGGTAAAAAGTGGCAACAAATGTTGTGCAAGAAATTTTTCATTTATCACAGCAATACTTCGTGCCTTGCTCTTGTACAAATAATGTTACAAATTGAAAGTCAGATAATTATAGAAATTACTTAATAACAGTGAAATGATTTCTATACTATAAAAAACACTATGTGTATTAATAGTGTTTTCTGTGGTGTAGACGTCTATTAGATATCTAACAATCTATTAGACATTAAGTATTGATTTCAGGTGATTGTGTTTCATGCATTATCGATAAATAACAAAACGCTAACGTTTTAACAAATTATATTATTAAATTCATAGAATCATGTGCTGAACAAACATTGCTGTAGATCTGGTACATTGCAATTTCCTTTTCAAGGTTTTTCTCAAGCTTTATGAAAGAAAGATTTCACTGTGCAAAACGTAAAGCGGACATAATTTACATTTTTTAATTATTATACTACTTTGTACTGTTAGTGAAAAATATTTTCGTAATTTGATATTTTAATTGATTCAAATATACCTACATTATTATTCGTGACAAATTTTTTATAAATTATTGCATTATAGTAAATATTAGCAGAATCGCTATTCATTGAAAGGTTGCTGTTCTTATTTTAAATTCTTTCACTATTTCCTAAATAAATTCTTTCCTTAGTCTTACAACAAAAAATGTGATTAGAAATACAAATAACATTTACAAATTTGTAGAAATAAAAATGTAACTTAAACTTGCTGCTTTTTAATGCAAAAAAAAAAAAATGCAAAATCGTTGGCTATTTTTAAGATTGAGAACAGTTTAATTGGATTAAAAATGACGTATTAATATAGTAATCCTTAATTTATGTTTCTGAAAAAAAATGTCACAATTCTTCCTATTTTTAATGCTTCTGTCGGTAGTACAATATAAAATATAGGAATTAGCATTAAAAAGAATTCAGTAAATTAGAAGTGTAAAGTACTAGAATTTTTCAATTCATTTTTATATTCTATCAATCGGATCAATTTTCTAGAGTTCGTTCCAATTTGATCGTTTCATTAAAAACTTGTTCTTTTTGCTATTATTTCCAAATTTGCAAATTTCCAAATTCTCAAAATTTGCGGATTCACAAGTTCCGTTTCCTATTATTTCCAAATTTGCAATTTTACAAATTCTCAAAATTTCCAAATTCACAAGTTCTGTTTGCTATTATTTCCAAATTCTAAAAATTTACAAATTCACAAGTTCCTTTTGCTATTATTTCCAAATTTTTAAATTCTCAAAATTTTCAAATTTACAAGTTCTTTCCGCTACTATTTCCAAATTAAATTCTCAAAATTTCCAAATTGCAGTTCACTCCTGTACAATTTATTGTAATGCTGAAAATCGAATTTCAATTGTTCCGTTGTGTGTGTAATCCAAGTATGAAGAAATAATAATGTGTACATACAGGCACCGGATGGTGAAACGCAACCGAGTACAGAAGTTGACCTATTCATCTCAACAGAAAAAATCATGGTTTTGAACACGGACCTGAAAGAGATCATGATGGATCACGCGTTAAGAACAATATCTTATATAGCGGATATTGGTGATGTAGTGGTGCTAATGGCACGAAGACGATTTGTACCGCACGAAATGGAAGAGGCACCAAAAATCAACCGAACTCCGAAGATGATTTGTCACGTATTTGAAAGTGAAGAAGCTCGATTCATTGCACAAAGCATTGGGCAAGCATTTCAAGTAGCTTACATGGAATTCCTCAAGGCAAATGGCATAGAAGATCATAGTTTCGTAAAAGAGATGGATTACCAAGAAGTACTCAATTCTCAAGAAATATTTGGGGATGAACTGCAGATGTTTGCTAAAAAGGAAATGCAGAAAGAGGTAATCCATGAAAATTCTATGCTGTATATCATCAGAATCAACTTTTGTTTAATCCTTTCGTGACCAGTGAGGCACGTATGCCCCGCTTGAGTAATCGAATAAAAATTCATCTCAATTTAGTATCCATTATCGACACGATGATCGGTAGATGTGTAACAAATTAAAAAAAAAAAAAGTAATTCAGTCACGAAAGGATTAATAGACTATGAGACTAAAAATATGCTAATATGCCATTTTGTGTTATAAAATCATACTGAATAATAAGTAAAAAATAATTGTCTCCAATTGACTCGGAATGAAAATTAAATGAAAAAGATCAATCAAAATCAATGAAAATTAGAATTATGAAATCATATTGAACAATAATCAAAATTAGTCGAAATTAAAATTATGAAATCGTACCGAACACTAATCGAAATTAATCGATATTAGAATTATAAATTCACACTGAAGGACACCAATCAAAATTAGTCGAAGTTAAAATTATGAAATACTGAATAATAGATAAAAAAAGTAACCGTTACAGATTTACTGATAAATGTTAAAAAGATTTTTCTTGAATATTTACAGGTAGTGGTACCAAAGGCGAAAGGTGAAATTTTAGGCGTAGTGATTGTTGAATCTGGATGGGGTTCGATGCTACCGACAGTTGTAATCGCAAATTTAGCACCAGCTGGTGCGGCTGCTCGTTGTGGACAATTAAATATTGGTGATCAGATAATAGCCATTAATGGCGTATCGTTAGTTGGCTTACCGCTCTCTACTTGCCAGACTTACATCAAGAATTCGAAAAATCAGACAGTCGTCAAACTGACTGTCGTTCCGTGCGCGCCAGTGGTCGAGGTCAAAATTAAAAGACCCGACACCAAGTATCAGTTAGGATTTAGTGTACAGAACGGAGTAATATGTAGTCTATTGAGAGGCGGGATCGCCGAAAGAGGAGGTGTTCGGGTGGGTCATAGGATTATCGAGATCAACAATCAAAGTGTTGTCGCCGTGCCGCATGAGAAGATCGTCAATCTTCTTGCCACATCTGTTGGCGAGGTACGCGCAATTCGTTTTCATTTGAAATATTAGGTTATCCCGTGAGTTCGTGCCGAAAGCGAAATGCATACATTTTAATGAAAATCCAAGGAAATTCTTTAGCGATGATATAACCAAAATAAACCAATATAAAAAAGACCTAAATAGAAAAAGTTGTGAAACGAGGAGGTGCTTATGTTTCTTTTCTGAAATTTAAAGGTTCGTTGGAAATATTCATCTAAATTATAAAATTCGACCGAACTTATGGGATGACCTAATACAGAGCGCTTAACTTCTTGCTCACGAGCAAATTTCCCCTCCCGTGTAACATAAACTAACGGCAGTCGTTGGAATGTGGTGGGAGGGACTCCTCGCGTCCTCCTGCCGCGCCGCAACTTGAGCGAGACCATCTCAGACGCATACTGGGGGAACCTCGGGAAGGGAAATTTGCTCGTGAGAAAGAAGTTAAGCGACTCTGACCTAATATATTACACGTGCATCTTAATCTTTTGTATCGTAGCGTCAATTGTGAGGCAATTCTGAAATTCTTTAATTTTAGTGTGCAACAAGTGTTTGGAATTACATACAATATTCATTTAACGAACAAAATATAAATAGTCTACTTTTCTGTGCACGAAAAAGTGAAAATTATTAGTTTCTAATTTTTTTTTAACTATGATACTCCTTTCCGAAAAATCTGAAAAAATTATAAATTAATAATCATAGCAGACTGGTAAAACTGTAAAGATATAAATTTTGTCACTTGATGACTTCAATGAAAATCGGCATTTTTAACCTTTTTTGAAATTCGACTTTGCAATCGAACAATCTGAAAAAGTTCCCACTGGAATTGACTTGTTTTATTTTTAACGTGTGGTTATTTTTTATATTGTTAAATTTCTTTTCTATCGTACGCGTTACGTATTTATCTTTACCGCGCGAAACAGCTGAAAATCGATTTTTCCAATTGTTAACGCTTCGAAAATAATAGACGTCGGTTTATACTTCCGATTTGGTCGAGAACGGTAAAAAAATGAAAAATTGACGAAATTCTCGATGAATTCTCAATCAGTTCTATCTAAAATAGCAAAACAATTGTTATTATAGCGTGACGGTATAGATACGTTTTACGAATTATATTTTGTTTCAGATATTAATGAAGACGATGCCCACGTCGATGTTTAGACTATTAACTGGCCAGGAGTCTCCAGTGTACATATAAGCGTTTGGTTACCTGGCTGATATGCGTAGTGAACAGACAATACATCCGCCATCCACTACCATATTATTCACTACTTTACTCTCTGTACAGAATTATTCTACGCAAATTGCTTTGTGTTTCGATTCTCGTGGAATTCTATTCGTATATTCTCACCAGCTCCTGCTTAGCAAAGCAACACAACTTACATAAACGCGTTGCAACAAATATTAATACATTGAATATTTGCGTAAAGCAAAAATTATATATACATAATATATACATAAACGTTTCATTCATGAATGAGATTCTCTATGCCTGCATTCCAATTGACTATTTGAATAATTCAAGAAGTAATATACAACTGTTGATATTCTCTTTGTTGTGACATTTAACATCAGTCGTTACAAGCCAAGAAAAAAGTAATGATGAACTTTCATTGACTCTTCCTTCTTATTTGGTATATTTATTTATTTTTCTCTTTTCTCTGAGCCAATGAAATATCTCATTTTTTTTTTATAGGATACTATCTCCAATATATATACATATATATATCAAAGGAGCATTATTGTATCTTTCATTGAAAACTATGAAATACATTTGTCACCAGATACCTACAATCTAATGTTAAGCTACTTTTGAAATAAAATGGGATAGTTGTACTGTCTGCATTGTATACTTATGTATTTTTCCAAGCATTATGTACGTTTAGTCTTACAAAAGGTTCTTTTTATTTCATTTAACGGTATACCTTTGATGTATTTTTAATACAAATGAGCATTCCTTAGTAAAATAAAATGATAAATAGGTTGACAGAGGTGTTCTCTTTGCCATATGATATATAGAAGAAAAGATGAAGAATTAATATTCAATGAAATTTCACTTATTTAAATACAATAAGTAAGAAAGTTTTATAGTTCAGGAACTCAGCATTGAGAATCGCATTCTGTACGCGATAAGAAGGAAAATGAAATATCCAGTGCACACGATTATACATAGCACAAAGCTCTTTACCAACGTTTAGAGCAGGGCTGGAACTCTCTGTACATTGCATAGTTGACGACGGAGTATATTTCTACAAGGGCCTTCATATATTTTGTTGGCTTTATGGAAATTATATTGTTTATTTCATGGTTTTTTATCCACGGATTGCAATTTACTAGTTTTTAAATTTTTACTAAAATTAAGATCTATCTAATTGCGTAATATTTTGAGTGCGTCGTCGTCTCGTGATAATTATCACGGTAGTTATACGGAAGAGTACTCCGTAGTATTTCATTGCATCGACAATTTGTTTTTTATGGTGACTTCCTTTTACAACCAACAACTTCTTTGAAGGAAGAAATCCTTTTTGCTGTTATTAACAGCAACTTTAATCAGATCGAATTATATATATATAAATTATCAACGATACGTATAAAGAAATTTAACATTCAGAGTCATTATATAAACATCAAAATGCACTATCGATAAACCCATTTAGTATTTTCGTTTAATCTTTGAGAAAAAATTTTGTGCTTATTATTATGAACGGTAACTACTATTTAAAAGGGTGCTTATTTCCTCTAAATGATGTATTGTAAATTTTAACTTTTACTTACAGTTTAATGATCACTATAAAATGAATCATCATTTCAAACAAGAAAATCTAAAAACAAACCTTTTGAAAATAAAAAATCGTTATCTTTGTTTATGTTGATTCCATAAAACAGACTTATCATTTGTTGGTAACAATTGCTTGGGTAATTCAATTATTTGAATTTCATCTTTCAGACAAAATTACCAGTTACTTTCATCAAAATACCAATTTCTCCATGAATATCTGGAACACTATGATCTACAAAGTAACATCTTGTATATGTAATATATTGCGTAAAAATGAACACTTATTTTTATTACTAATGGACGATAATGTGTTAGGATCGTCAGTTGAAAGCGACTTTTGTGGTGCAATATTACTACATCATTTTTTCACCATTAATGTAACTAACCGAGAGCAATCTCATTAAATAATTATACAAGCATTTACAATTATCACATGAATGAATATGCTCTTATTGAACTATTTAGAAAATACTCTTTACCTATATAGATTGTGAATCAAATTAAAAATAATCCGAAGTATTAATCTCGACTTTATGTAATATTGCGACTGAAAAAATTATAAAAATTTACAAATGGTAACAAAATAATACTAACGGAGAGGAGTTCTCTTCTATGTAAATACCGCGCATCATATTAACTCTAAGTTTTATCTATTTTTTGCTGAAGGTTTTTCACTTTTCGCTTCAACTATCGAGTGATACGTGATACGAAAATCTTAAGATTTCTAATGAAAGTTTGATAAAATTTCAATGCCAAAGTACATGAAAGGACAACATTATGTATAAATAATACGTCGAATCACCTGATTTCCCTAACTGTGTATGGTAATATATACAATAATTATTTTCTTTGTGTCTTTCAGATTTCAACTTGCATAAAATATCGAGTCAGATCATATGTCTCGAAATGACAAGGCAGTATTTTGTAGAAGTTAATGATTGAATATAATTGAACAGTAAAATCTAAGACAAGACTTTACTACTTTTGTTCTTTATGTAATTAAGAATTAAGAATTTGTCGATAGGAACGACTCCTCGCTTTTGTTTTTTTTCTTTTTCGTTTTTTTTTTTTTTTGCAATTTTGTTACCTCACAAAAAACATATTTTTCTTTCTCTGTTATGTCAAAAGATTTTGTTTTCTGTTTTGTTTTATTTTTACTGTCGATTTCGAATCGTATTAAGTACTATGAATTGTTTTCGTTACAAAAAATTGTATGTATATAAGTACTTCAAGGTTGACTGCAACTTAATTGCTTTTTTTAACATATGTATCCTAAATAATACGATTTTGTATTATTTAAAATGTGACAGAAGAAAAACTCCTGTAATGTAAGAAAGATACGTAAAATGCAGCATTTTTCCATATTAATAAATGAATATATAGGTGTGAAAAAAGAATAGAGTTTTAAAAAGAATCAGAAATTTTATTTCTAATTTTGTGACCATTGGAACATTTCAATTAAAACATTCACCTTAACAATAATGCAATTTTAAAAGCACACTGTGGTATTTAAAACAATATAATCTTGGTAAACACTAACAACTTCATAAAAATCAATTGAAAAAGTATTGAAAAAGTAATAAATAAGGTACACGATCCTTGTATAAGTTGGCAGAAAATTGTATGAAACTCAAATATTTTTCCAAAATAGAAGAACCTTGAAGTGCTTATGTTAAAGAACAGTTACAATTATTTACTCAACCTTTGTTTATTGTTAAAGTATCGTTAACGATAGGCACATGTTTAAAATGTAAAGCTGGAAAAGGAGGGAAAAAGAAAGAACAAAAAAAATGAGTATGAGAGAAAGAAGTTTAAATAGATAGTAATTTCGCCGCTTAAATCATTATATTATATGAATCATGTTTACAAATCTTATTTAAACCAATTTATTGTAATACCGGGTGATATATACAAAAACGTACTTTATACTAATTTTATTTCATTTGAATTTGATTAGTGCCATTTATAATGCCCTGGAATTGAACTTGTTTTGTGTTCTTTCCTGTGAAATATAAATATTTATGCGTATGCTTGTGTAACGTATCTGAGTGGAAAATTCGTTTGACTTACATATATTGAATAGTTTAGTTGAGAAAATACTAAAATATGCATCAAACGCATTGTCCAATGCACACAAATATATAGCACACTTTTAAGAATATTTATAACAACATTGCTACAACCAAAGAATTTATGCTTCTCCATGCATACAAATTTAGTAAACTGAATGGAAATACTTATTATAACGCAATACAAAAATTTTGTGTCCATTTGTTTACATTTATTTAAATTTAAATACATCTACAAAGAAATATAACCCTATCAAAACAAAATATACTGTTATAAAAAATTAATTTCTTTTGGTTTATGTAACATCTTACAATTAAAATTGAAAGAAATTTTTAAAAAGTTATTGTAATCATCTTTTTCAAAAAGTATACTCAATTTATTCAAGCAAAACTGTAATTATAAGCAAATATACACCAATGTGTACATTGTAATAAACGTAAATACATGATCTATTTCTTTTATTTACAAAATCTAAATTTGTTATAAAGCAATTGCAATTTTTTTGTTCCAAACATAAAAATTCCTGTTAAAAATAGATATTAAACTTCATCTGCAGTTTTTTTTTCTTTTTTTTTTTGTATGAAATATCTTTATTTTATACTAAAAAAAAATTGTGAATTTATAACAATCATATGGTAAAGGAAGAAAAAGACAAAAGAGTTCTTCAAGATCAGT